CAATCTGGGTAATAGTGGATCGATTATCAAAATCCGCACATTTCCTACCAATGAAAGAAACATATTCTTTGGAAAAAAAATTGGCTCAAATCTATATCAAGAAAATTGTGACTAGACATGGTGTTCGACTACCCATTATATCTGACCAAGACAGTCACTTCACTTCAAAATTCTGGGAAAGCCTGCAAAAAGCCTTGGGAACACAGATCATATTAAGTACGGCTTACCACCCTCAAACGTACGGCCAAAGTGAAAGAACCATCCAGACTCTCGAAGATATGTTGAGAACTTGTGTCATCGACTTCGGGGGATCATGGGAGGAACATTTGCCGTTCATAGAGTTTGCCTACAATAATAGTTATCATTCCAGCATCCAAGCGGAACCTTATGAACTCTTGTATGGAAGAAAATGTCGAACACCGTTATGTTGGAATGAGGTAGGTGAAAAGCAGTTGATAGGTCCCGAAATTGTGCAGACAACTTTTGAAAAGATTGAGCAAATTCGTGCAAGGATTAAGACTGCCCAAGATCGACTGAAAAGTTATGCCGATAAACGAAGAAAAGCCGATTGAATTCAATGTAGGAGACTTTGTGATGTTAAAAATATCTCCATGGAAGGGTGTTATGAGATTCGGGTAGAAAGGAAAACTTAGTCCACGGTACATTGGACCATTTTGAATCTGCAAACGGGTTGGGCCGGTAGCCTATCAGTTGGAACAGCCAGAGGAACTCAGCCTAATTCATAGTACCTTTCATGTGTCGTATTTATGCAAGTGTTTGGCAGACCCGAGCTTAGTGATTCCACTTCCCAAGATCAAACTCGATAAAAAGTTGAATTTTATCGAGACTCCAAAGGCAGTAACAGACAAAAGACCAGGGTACTAAGAAATAAAGAGATCAGTCTAGTCAAGGTACAATGGCGTTTTCATATGGGTACAGAAGCAACATGGGAATTAGAATCAGATATGAGAACTCGTTATCCATGGCTATTTAAATGAATTCCGGGAGGGAATTCTTTTTAAGGGGGAAGAATGTTATAACCTGGTTTTAGACAATCTGGGTTGAGGTAAAATTATGCGTGATTAATATTTGAATATCTAATGGTATGCATGATAAAATAATATACATGGATGATATATGTGCAAAGACATGATGAACGTAAGAGGATACATGCATATGTTATGTTATGTATGTGTAATATATGTGATAAATTGCATACCTTAATAGATAAGGTGCATGTGCAGTATAATGATATTTAAATGGTATCTTAGTGATGAAGTAAGATGGTATCTTAGTGATGAAGTACGATGGTATCTTAGTGATGAAGTAAGATGGTATCTTAGTGATGAAGTAA